AAAAAAATAGTTTTAAATTATAATATAGCCACAAAAAATAGTTTTTAATTTTTTTCTTTACACTAAGGAATGAAAGAAAAAAATAAAATAAGAATAAGAAACTCAAATAATTATAATAAAAGAAGTCAAAACATAATTTATGTATGAAAAAGATTAAAATATACCTTGAACTTTGCTAGAAGAATCATATATACCCCTAAATAATTTTTAAGAAAATTAAAAGTCAAAAATGTAAATTTAAAACTAACTTTTTCACTTCCGTTAAATGAAGGGTATATGTGAGTTCATTTTGTAACGGTAGGGGTATATGTGAGCCGTTTATATAACGGTAAGGGTATATATGAGCCACTTTCATAACGAGGGGCATATCAGCTCCAAATGACAAAGTTGAAGGGTATATGAGACTCTTTTCCCTAATTTAAACGTGTAACTAATTTTTCAAGACAAGTTGAGGGGGAAATCTATGTCTTTTCCCCATGAAAATACATATGATAAAACTAATTTGTTATAAATATTAGACATAGTTTTACAATCGATAATTACCAAATATTACATACATATGATTTGTCCCACTCGTATCCACAAGACCTTGACCAAAGATCCATGTTAACATTGCATGTTATATACTATTAATCAAGACTTCGTAATTATTTCTTATGAGCATGACCTTCTAATTTGATTTCATTAGAGATAAATCTATATAGAATAATGAGTGCACCTGCATTTGTTAACTTAGAATTTATATATTACTATATATAATAAGTGGGAATATCTACTACTTAGCACATGACAAGTGTTGGATGATATGTGTTTCATAGTGTTGTACATTCTTCTTTTATGGTTGTACCTTTAAATTTTATATTACTACCATTAATTACCTACTACTTTATTAGCCAAAAAGTTTGACCTCATTTGGGCCCATTTATTATTTATATGTTTTCAATTTTCAAAATATGTAGTTTATCTAATTCTTTTTTTCAACCTTTTATTTTAAACTTCTTGAACACTTTTAATTGTTATGATTTCCTTTTTTAGAGTCAAACTATAAGAATTTTAACTAATATTTTACAATGTGTTTTTTTCATCATAATCATAGGCAAAAAATAACAATTTATAGTACTTTTTGTATAGATTTTGCATATTTAATTTATTTTTTTTAAATATCGAATTAATACAATCTAATTTAAATTTGAAAATTAGTCAAATGGACTTTCAAAAAGCGCAACATGACAAATACAAGTGGACAGAGAGAGTATATTTTAGCTACAAAATATATTAGACGTACAACTTTTTAAAAAATTTAAATTTTTATTGCGTTGACTCTTGAAATCTTATCATTGTCATATGAATTTGAACAAATTATATATTATTAAAAGTTACATAAAAGATGCTATAAATCACAATAATTAGCAATTAAAAATATTAGTAAATCATATAAGAAATTTGGTTGGCTAATTGGAATAGAATAAGAACATGTACTATTTGAAAATAACGTCAAAATTTCTAGAATACACAATAAATTAACAACTGAAAATATTTATGATTATTCACATGAATTGAAACATGAGTAACCTATATTATTCAAAACTAACGTAAAAATATAAATCACAACAATTTAATAACTTCAAATATATTTTTAAGAAAACATATAAAAAATCGACTGATCTTCAAATTCCATTTATATCACATAAATTAAAACAAAAACAAAAAAAATATTTATTGGGCTCGTGTTGGCACGGGCACCAAATATCTCTATATATATATATATATGTCACAAATGGAAAAGTCCCAATCAAGGAAGCAACATATATCATTTACAAATGACTTAAAAAGCATTAAAAATTACAATAATTACCAATTTAAAATATTTAAAAGCTATATAATAAAATACGTTGACTCTCAGAATTCTATCAGGCTCACATATATTGGGACAGAAAAAATAACACATATCATTTTAAAATTACCAAAAAAGTATTATAAATAATAATAATTAACAACTTAAAATATCTGAAAGACATTTTAAAAGGGTTAATTTTGTAATTTTATCCATATCACATAAATTAGGACAAAGTGACCAGTAATGTACATTATTTCAAAGTTACATAAAAATATTATAAATCACAATAATTAATAACTTAAAATCGTAAAAATACTATAAATCATGATAATTGACAACATAAATTATTTCAAAAATGTTGTATGTGGGTAGTCTTATTATGCCTTAAATAGCGTCAAAGAAAGTACAAATTTGTAATAAAAAAACTTATTCCTTTATCCACGCAAACAATCGTTTCAAAAACTCGGTTATTAGCCCCAAAATATACCATTTATATTATTGGGTCCGTTATGCACAGACCACATTATCTAGTATATATATATATATATATATATATATATATTTGTACAAATAAAGTTTAATTAAATTGTGCATTTTGTATAAATAGAACAAAAGTGGATTTGGGCTAATCGTAATTGATTGCTTTCATGCTTGAAATTTGAGTTTTAAATTTGTGACTTCTGTTTAAATTAACGGTTAAGCACAAATAAGTGGGTTTGATAATTTGAACTTGCGTCAATTCATACATTTGCACTACCTTAACCACTAAGCTATTTATCAATGATTTTATTTGCATTGGAGTTTAATTATTAACACCACTTGTATTTTCATCAATATATACGCTATCGCAGGCAAGTCCAACACAATATCATCCCTTCTTCGTCATTGAAAATCTTTTGTCATTTATGTTAATATAATAATGGTGCCCCACCGTCTTCAAATTTTGAATCCACCTCTTATTTTCTCTACCCTAATTAATTCAACGAGATATATATTATCTCTCATCAATACAAATATTAAAAATTTTGAATCCGCCTCTCACTATACATAAATGCTTGAACACATAAAAAGTAAAAAAAAAAAAATAACTTTGTTACAAAATATATTTTTGGTAATGATTGTCTAATATTTAAGGGTAATTTATAGAAATCGCACTAGCTTAAGAGTTAATTATTTAGATTCATGCTAGTTTGTAATATGACGATCTTACCAAATTTTGGACTTCAGATACATGTATGGGTGCGTATAGATACATGTATCTCAGATACATGTGGTCAAAATTAGGTGTAATTTACTCTAGATACACTGTATCCAAGTGGATTCGCATGTATCTGACTCTCTTACTCGCCGTTCTCCTATCTCGCTCACCACTCTCCTTTCTCACTTGCCTCTCTCCATATATATGATATCCAAGATATATATATCTAGTATCCATATATATATATATTTATATATATATAGTGTGATTTGCATGTATATGTGGATCTCGCTCGCCTCTCTCTTTCTTTGTCTCACCTTTCTCCCTATTTTGATATATTTTGTAGCAAAAAATACACGTTGGTGTATCCAAATTGAAATCCAGTATGAAATTTCCAAATTATAAGGAGAATCATCAAATAATCAAATAAGTTGTGGGGAATCTAATTTGGCAACTTGCTTGTAAAGAAGATACGCTTTGGATTAAATGGATACATGGTATTTATATGATATATGGACTCATGTCCCTCCAGCAGATTGTAGTTGGTAGCGGAAGAAGTTTAGTTCTATGAAACAAAGCATGATTGATTGGTACAGAGATGAATCATACTGTTTAACTGAGAGTGATGAATATTCAGGGAAAGTTATTACAACTTAGTGGGGACCTTGGAGAGAGTAAAGGGATCCGATTTGGTATGGAGCTCGATTCTACTATCCATACACAGATTCATACTATGGATGACAACCTAAGATAAACTGTTGAGTGTTGACAAAAGAGAAAATGAACATGCTACATATTCCAGTGGACGATTTAACATGTTGTATGTGTGATGATAACAAAGTGGAATCTCAACGACATCTATTTTTTTTTTTTAATGTAGATGGACAACAATAGTGCAAGAAGAGTTGGGAAGATGGACAAGCTGAATGCAAAAGTAGGTGCAACCTCATTTAAGTTGGATAAAAGAGCAACATTGGAGACAATTCATAAAGAAGTTGACAATAACAATTTCCGGGGCAAGGATCTACCGCACATGGAAGGCAAGAAATTGGAAGCAATTCAAGGAAGTAAATGTAAAAACAGAGGTAGCTATTGCACATATACAGAAAGAAATCATTGAAATAATAAAACAAGTAAAAGACTCTAGAAAAGTTCGAAAGTGCAGTAGTTCAATTCAGAAACTCTGTAACTAGCTTGTTATTTTTCTTACTGGTTCTCAGGCTCGGAATGACTAAAATGTCAGTTATTATTCATTGGAGTGCTCTTTACCTATAAACATTGATTATCTATGATAATTTTTTCATGATTAACCAAAAACATAAAATATAGTAGAAATATTTGTCTAATTTGATAGCTTTTTCAAATATTTTACTTTGTTACAAAATCTCTTTGATAATGATGGGCTAACATTTTCTCTAGTATATATCTTTGTTAGGCCTCATTAGGGCCTAGGTACAACACTTCTAATAAGACCATCTATAGTCGGTTAAGTATTCAGTATTTGACAAGCTTTTTACAGCCAAACCCTAGAAACTTCCCCATTTGGCAAAGATTTTCTTTATATTCTCTGCAGTATTTGGTACTTTGAACACAACAGACCCACGGATTGATTCTTCTCCAGAACACTGTAATTTTCTTGCTTTTCTCTCTCTCCATTGTGTTTATAGACTATTTGTGCTTTTTATGCAAAATTAACAAGATTAATCATTTACCCTTTCTCTAATTTTGGCAGTGATACAGGTTTACTAGACAAACAAAAGGTGAGACTTTTATGTTTTTTTTTGGTTGCTTTTTTTTGTTCTTTTGATTCTAGGGAAGTGTAGTGAAGAAATGAAGTTTTTTTTTGGGGCTAAAAATTGAATCTGGATTCTTTTTTTGGGTAAAGTTGGCTACTTTGATGGGAATTATGGAGTGTTAGTGATTGTATATCTGTAAGGGTATCAATTTCAATCATGAATTTGGTTTTCTGTGTAAAAAAGAGGAGAAATATGGTGTGTGTGAAAATTGCTTCTGTGTCTGTTTTTTTTGTTTGTTTGTAAAGTTGATTGCTTTGAAGAAAATTATGTAGTGCTAGGGATTTTATTGCAGTAAGAGAGGGTCTTTAATCTCAAACATTTAATTTGTTGTGTGTGAACTTGCAATTTGTTGCTTGGGTGATTGCAAGAGCTTTAAGAATTAGGAAGCAAAGGAGATTCAACATCTATTGTATATACATAAAAGATAATCTTAATCTTGTATTGATGGTGTAATTTTTCCGTCCTACCTGGCTCAGCCCTTGAGCGTTGCTGGGGATTTTGTCATTGGTAAGTTCTAAAGGAAAATAGAAGTCTTGGATGAGTGAAAATTGCTTCTTTGATTTGAGGTTGTCGTTGATTACTTTAAAGGAAAATCTGGACTGCTAGAGAAAACAGGGCCTTCAATGTCATCATGGATTTTTTCTGTGATTTTGTGTTGCAACTTTCTTGGTTGGTTGGTAAAGCTTTTACTTGGTCTTATGGTTATTGAGTGAAGCAATATAGCTTTATTGGGAAATTGATATTGCATATGATGTAATTTGCACCACTTTGCATTGTGCTTCATTTTCCAGGTTATGTTGTCTGTATGTTCCACCTCATGATGTTCTGTGTAATAACACTTCATGAGTTGTTAGTTTGGTTTGTAGGGTGACACATTCAGCTCCTTGACATGGCAGGCCAGAGGAACAACTACGGTAAGAGAATGCAATCGGAATCTGACTATTCAAGGAGTGATGGAAGTAAGAGAAGGACTCCAACTGATGAAAAGGAATCAAATTCCATTGGACCAGAGGATACTGTTTTTCGTTATTTATGCCCCACAGGAAAAATTGGAAGTATCATTGGAGTTGGTGGGGACATTGCAAAACAACTGAGGACAGAAACTAATTCAAAGATTAGGATTAGCGAGACCATACCTGGCTGCGAGGAGCGTGTGGTAACTATTTATAGTGGAAGTGAAGAAACTAATGTCTCTGAAGATACTGGTGACCTGATTTCACCTGCTCAAGATGCTCTATTCAGGGTGCATGACAGAGTCCTTGCTGAAGACCTGCGTATGGACGAAGATCTGGAGGATCATCAGCAGATTACTGTAAGGATGCTTGTCCCATCAGATCAGATAGGTTGTGTGATAGGGAAAGGTGGACTAGTGATCCAGAATTTACGAAGTGAAACAGGTGCGCAGATTCGGGTGTTAAGCAGTGAGCACTTGCCCCCTTGTGCTCTAAACTCGGATGAGCTTCTCCAGGTAGTGGCAGGGTCCTCCTCACAACACTTTTGAGTACAGTTTATGTTAACTGTAATTCCGTGTCATCTCTTAGATTTTTTTTGATAATTAGAAGCATTCATTATGCATGTACTCTAGAGTACTTTTAGGCATGTATGGTTTAATTTACCTGAAGTAATTTCATCAGAGTTTTAAGTGCGAGCACTTCCCTTGATCGTATTTAATTTTGGTACCTGGTGGAATAGTTGCGATCCGTGCAAGCTGGCGTAGACACCACCGTCATATAAAAAAAGAAAATTGCTTCACAAAATATAATAGGTAGCTAGATATGAGGTTTTCGAGCCTGATTAAAAAAATGAGTTTTTTTTTATTTTCCAGCCTTGGTGTCTCTCGCAATGAAGAGGCTTGTTTCTATGCTAGCTGATTGCCTGGTTTAGCTTGTCAACCAATTTTTAAGTATGTTACTTACAAACTTTTCCGATAAGATTCTAGATTTCCTGTTGGCCTAAGATGAATTTAAATGGGGAATATAGTCACTGAGGATTCATATAGTGAACCCCAACTTGCTTGATGCAGAGGTGTAGTTGTTACATGGATTGTATGTCAGTGTATAGGTGTGAGTTTTGCAAAAACCTTTAGTTTTAGAGAAATCCTAATTTACCATAGAAGATCAGTATATTGGAGTAAAATGAGTTCGTCGAGCAGAATTGTTATAAAGGATTCATGCATTGACTGACTAGTTCGAGATTGAGGGGTAGTTGATTGGTATGGGGTATAACTGCGTGAGCAGAAACTTAAACATGATTCATTTGGATCCTTTTTTGAGAAGGCAAAGTAGATCTTATAAATAAATTAGCACAAAGGAAGTGGGTTACATCTGACAGTTATTTCTAAAAATCAGAAGACATAAAAAGAGTACCCCATCTAATCCTGAAGGGCTTCTTACAAGATTGGTTTGGTTCTTTAAAAGCAGTTTTTTTAATCTGTTAGCTATATCCATTTTGTAGGGCATCTATTTGTGAAACTTGATGGTACCAAAAACACCGACTAGGAATAATGAGAGAAATGGACAATCAATTGTTGAGTGAGCAACTGCTGTATTCAAGTTTTATTTGCAAATTCCCCACTATGCCGTCACTTTTAATGATGCGTATATCTTCTTTTTTTGAAACTGGTAACTTATTAATGATGCGTATATCTGGTTATATGAAACTGTAAATGATGTGTTGAAGAGATTCTTCTTTTATTTTCAGATAACCGGTGAAGGTGCAGTTGTTAAGAAAGCACTTTATCAAGTAGCAGCACGCCTCCATGATAATCCATCACGGTCCCAACATCAATTGCTGTCGTCACCCAGCATATTTAGGTCTGGTGCTGGACTTGTTAATCCTCATGCTGGTACACAAGTCATGGGTGTGACATCATTGATGGGTCCTTACGCAAGTTACAAAAGTGATGGTAGAAGTAGATCTTCTTCTGTAAAAGAGTTTGCAGTTCGTTTGGTTTGTCCAACTGAGAATGTAGGAGCTGTAATTGGCAAAGGTGGAGGCATTATCAAACAGCTAAGACAGGAATCAGGTGCATCTATTAAAGTCGATAGTGCTGCAGCTGAGGGAGATGATTGCATTATATTTGTATCAGCAAAGGAGGTGAGGAACTGTTCTTGGTTATTGAATTCATTATTTGATTGCTAGGACTGAGAATGCTTCTCTGTAGCATTTGTTGCTTAATCCAATTGTGATCGCAGGCATTTGAAGATCAATCCCCTACCATCGATGCAACAATGCGTTTGCAACCGAGAAGTAGTGAGAAAACTGAAAAAGAATCCGGTGATGCTATTCTTACGACTCGCCTGCTTGTACCTAGTTCACGAGTTGGATGCCTTATTGGTAAAGGTGGTTCCATTATCAATGAGATGCGGAATTCCACAAGGGCAAGCATCCGCGTTCTTTCGAAGGAAAATCTTCCCAAAGTGGCATCCGAAGATGACGAGATGGTGCAGGTAAACAGGTTTTCTAGTTTTGTCCTCGTGTAATATTGTCTCACTTGGTTTGTTTAACTCTCAGTTCTTTGTAGGTTGGGGGTGTGATGTTTGGTTTAAGTGTACTCCCTATGCTGAAATTCTTATGTCATGGTATTGTGTTTTTCCCCTTCAGATTACTGGAGATGCTAATGTTGCTGCCAATGCGTTATTGCAAGTACTTATGCGTTTGAGGGCCAATACATTTGAGATGGAGGGATCTTTTCCTGCATTTTCTCCTGGCCTTTCTTATGTCCCCATGTCTGCAAGCATGCCAGATGGCTCAAGATATGGTAACCGTGATAATAGATCACGTCGGCATGGTTATTCATCTTATTCAGGTGGACATGATTACAATGATTTGTCTCCAAGTGATAATTATGGTGGCTCACAGGTAAATACTCAGTGTTCATCTCTTAGAAGTTAGTTTGATGTTATCTCATTTTTACAGGTAAGGATCAAATTATCTTGTCCTGTTGTTCATATTCTAATTGATGGTTTCTGTATTTTTCCATCTATTTTGCTGCTATCCTTGTATAGCAAACAAAATATGTCAGAAAGTAGATCTGAATTCATATTTTTCAGGTTGGTGGTGGAGGTAATTATGCACCATATGGCGTTTATTCCTCTGGGCGACCTAGCAGTGCAGGGTAAAGCATTATCTGATTACATGCTTTGAATTAAAGCTATGTTTCCCGCCTATAATTACAGTCTCTTTCATTTACTGTAAAAAGGTTTTGTTATTTACTTGTTCTAATCTTCCAGGGTTTCCAGCCATAACCCTTCTGCCTATGGAAAATCTTATGGATACTAGGGTGTAGAGGGTTATTAGCAGCCGGAGGTACAGAATTTCACTTTTTTTTTGGTCTTATACATAAATTAATGGGCATCTCTGTTCTGTACTTCAGTATAGCCTCAAGCGCATCTTCCTTTTGATAACTTTGACTAGCCTGAAGCCTGTATTGCATCTCTAATGCTCTTTCTTTTACTTTGCCTTTTCACACTTGCCATCTAAACAGCTATCATCTCCGATGCCTGTTCCAGCCCATTGCCCGCCCCTTTTGACGAAGCCTCCAGCCTAAGAACAGAGGACCAGACGAACAAGATAGAGAAACTTGTGGCCATCCTTGCCCTAGTATTTCTGTTTCTTAGGTGTTACCAGCATATATATTGTAATGAAACAACGCCTCTTAGTCATTGAAGGCCTTTTGTACCCAAAATACCTCTGCTTTAGTGGTTTTGTGTAGCAGACTAAGCCATGACAGTTTGATGTGGTGGTTCTTTACTTTTTGTTTGTTTGTTTGTGTTCTTAAGAACTTTTGTGACGTTTCCTGTTGACCAGTTATGCTACAGGATTGAACCTTCTATTGCTTTCTCTTGCATCGATTTTTTTTCATGTTTTCTTGACAGCTTTCCAGTTATTGAACAAAAGTTCAAGAAAGTCAGGTTTCTGCATTTCAGGAGGTAAAAATGTCATGTTTACTTGACAGCTTTTCAGTTAGTGATCTTGTATATGACATGATTCCCGCTATTGGGTTCTATCCTTGTCAATGAAGCCCTTCTGTTAGTTGCTAGCACAGAGCTTTTAAGAGATCAATCAATAGCTAATTATGATCAAAATTCACATTCACGTTTGCATGCTATGGTATACACTGAGAGGGCAGTTTCTACTGAAGCAGTGTTAAATTTTCTTCTCTTGCTTCTCTAGGGTAGGAGGTACTTGAGATTGGGAATTGCTTTTCTAGATCGTTGAGTAGGCACATTCACGTTTGCATGCTATGGTATACGACTAAGAAGGCGAGATTTCTACTGAAGCAGTGTTAAATTTTCTTCTCTTGCTTCTCTAGGGTAGGAGGTACTTGAGATTGGGAATTGCTTTTCTAGATCGTTGAGTAGGCACATTCACGTTTGCATGCTATGGTATACGACTAAGAAGGCGAGATTTCTACTGAAGCAGTGTTAAATTTTCTTCTCTTGCTTCTCTAGGGTAGGAGGTACTTGAGATTGGGAATTGCTTTTCTAGATCGTTGAGTAGGCACATTCACGTTTGCATGCTATGGTATACGACTAAGAAGGCGAGATTTCTACTGAAGCAGTGTTAAATTTTCTTCTCTTGCTTCTCTAGGGTAGGAGGTACTTGAGATTGAGAATTGCTTTTCAGATCGTTGAGTAGGCACATTCATGTTTGCATGCTATGGTATACACTAAGAAGGCAGATTTCTACTGAAGCAGTGTTAAATTTTCTTCTCTTGCTTCTCTAGGGTAGGAGGTACTTGAGATTGAGAATTGCTTTTCAGATCGTTGAGTAGGCACATTCATGTTTGCATGCTATGGTATACACTAAGAAGGCAGATTTCTACTGAAGCAGTGTTAAATTTTCTTCTCTTGCTTCTCTAGGGTAGGAGGTACTTGAGATTGAGAATTGCTTTTCAGATCGTTGAGTAGGCACATTCACGTTTGCATGCTATGGTATACACTAAGAAGGCAGATTTCTACTGAAGCAGTGTTAAATTTTCTTCTCTTGCTTCTCTAGGGTAGGAGGTACTTGAGATTGAGAATTGCTTTTCAGATCGTTGAGTAGGCACATTCATGTTTGCATGCTATTGAATATGTTTTCAGAGCTTTGCTATATGTGGTAAACATGTCTTATCTTGTTAATATTCATGTTCCCTTGGCCTCAAGGAAATGATGGTGTTGGTCACTGCTTGATGTGTGATCATTTTATGTGATCGATTCTGCAGAGGATTGATAGAAAATTTAGTTCTTATGATTAGATTCCTACTAAGGTAAGTACTATTCTTTCTTGCAAATGTTATTTCTTACACCGTGAGACAGATATATTATTTTGGTAGGAACATACACATCCTACTGTGAAAACATTTCAGGAGGAAAGAAAGCTCTATCACGTGTATTGCCAACTGCTTTTTGCCCTTTGGAGGGCTTCATGAAGCTTACAGTAATGAATTACTGGGGTTCCATGTCTTACATAAGTGTTATTCCATCAACTTTTATTCATTATTTGAGCATGGATTCTCTTTGCTCCGCGCTGTTTGTTAGGAGTTCTGCACTGTACTTTCAGAGCCGGTCCAGTTTCTTATGTTGTTTGTTGGACGGCTGAGTGTAATTACCCTTTAGTGTGGCCTTTGAATGGTCCATTTAAAGCATTCTTCTAAGTAATTGATTCGATGTAATAGAGTAAAAGCTCACACCTCTCTAGTTATAAGGTACTAAATCATTACCACCACCAGGAGGTGGGTGGGAATTTGGGATCCCTCCATGTTCAACCGGAGATCGCATTCGAGCCCTGAAAATGGTGGCATGAAGTTGAATTAGTTGGGTCAGTGAGCTTCACAAGCCATTGAAGCGACTTATTCCTGGAAATGTTAAAAATAAAGAAATTGTTAAGAGTTGTATTGTCATTTCTATTTAGTCCCAACAGGATTCATATGTAAAGATACTGGTCTTGTTGAGTTGATAATGAGACTATTTTCATTGTTGATAATATATTTTTTTGATTGCACGTTTGTGTATGTAAGGTAGCAATATAGGTGACAATCTCATGTCGCCTCCTTTCAATTGATGGTTAACAAGCATAATGTTTGATGGTTAACACAAAAAATGTACATTAAACAATGGTAAAGTCTCAGGTGTATGTAAAGCTCAAAACTACCATCACTCACGAGAAGGAAAAAAAAGAAGAAAAATGTTGCTAGTTTTCAACGAATGTGAATCTTCTTCTTTTCATCCATGAATGTGGAACTTCTTTGACGCATAAGTGTCATAAGGCATCTAGAAAGTAATAATCGTTTGCATTATTTTCAATTCTACTAATTCGCCTCTAGTTGGATACATAATAAATACTTTAACTTGATGCACATTTAGACATCTTAACTTGATTTAAGTTAGCCTTGTAAGTATCCTCAACTTTGAAAATTCGCATCTGGAATGCACTCCTTTAAAGTTAAGGTATTTAGATGTACATTTTCAGTGAAATGCACCTATTACGTCAAGTTGAAGCGTCTAGATGGTCACAATCCAACTCCTTTTGTAGCTCTGAAAGTCAATAGCGTTTGCTAAAGTGGTGATTAACTGAATTTTCTATTTTCTGGGGACTTCCAACCTCAGTTAGTGACCTCCATTTGTTTGAACCAAGCAAATCGAATATGACCTTTTCCAACTACTAGTAACAAGGTCTTGGGAACATAAATTCTTGTGTGTTCAAAACCAACTTTGTATGAGATCATAAAAATGAAGTCAAAAGAAATCTAGTTTGTATGAAATCACAAATATGATGTACAGTACAATGTACCAAAAGGGAAAGACACTAATATTGCATAAACTGTATGTCTTTAACATTTCATTATAACATGGATCAATCTAGAACTTTTACCACCCAAAAAGTACAATATATCATATGATGGTATTATAGCACAGCCAGTTAGGGAAGTTTTCTGAATTTTATGCAAGGAAATCAGCTCAGTATAGGACAACAAATCTAATCTCAGTACAAAAATTCGCCACACGAGCAATTATTCTCTTTCTTTCCTTCTTTTTTACCTCTATATAAGTAGCTAGCCTGATTTACAACACCACTTTCAGTTAATTCAGCAGGAAACTTTGATGAGGCTGCTCAAGAATGTTTTGGTCCTGGTGCCTCTGATCTAAGACTTATTCTCACCATCCGCTGCTGGTGTTCCGCTCTGCTCATCTAGCTGGTCAAGATCGTTGTTGCTACCATCTGCTTGCCAGATTTTAAATGGAGAAGGAAAGAGACAAAGGGGTTGAGATTTGCTTCCAGTATGATCACACTACAGGAATAGCTTTTAGGTACATACCTTCACCAGCATCTGTCAGTTTAGCTTCTGAGAGACGAGTACGAAGTTGCTGGTGTGGTGTCGGCTGTTATCAAAGAATACATAAACAATGCAATCTTGTTGTGATAATTGAATACAAATTGAACATGTGGCAACTTGATAGTTAACTTCCTTATGTATGTATGCTTCAGTATTTAGTTTGAATAAATAAAGGAAGATACAACTTCTAGCCATTACGAGCAACAATAGAAATTGGAAATGAGTTTCTCAGAGTAACAGGGTAATGCACCTCCAATTTCGGGCGAAGTGCCTCAGCAGGTGTTTTGGCCTTATGTCCCCCTTGCTGCAATATAATAGAAAATGAAAACATGGTAAAAGATGCTCAAAATTTCAACATCAAACTTTAGCTAAAGACTGAAACAGCCAAAGTTACACTAAAGCTGAGTACCTTTCCTAGTGCCCAGTCCGCAGAATCGAAAAAAGCACGTTCATGGTCCTGGCAAATGTTAAAGGGGTTGATTGAAAATTCAATGAGGACAAGAGTCGAAGTAAAACACAAAACACATCGAGGAAAATAATTTGAGATACCAAAGAGTTGAAGTAAAAACCGAAAAAAATCACCTTAGTTATCAATGGAGGTTTCTTTTTCACTAATCCACCATATTTTTTCTTCATTAGTTCCTCCTGCTCCTGGATATATGTAACGAGGAAAAGTAAATGTTTCGTGTAGTTGCAGTAAATTTAGGTCATTTTCCTTAACACTTTCATCAACTTACAGTCTCTACCTCAAATACCCTTATACACTTATAGATGGATACCAGTCCTATGAATGAAATCTCATTCACATGGTTATATGCCACAGAAAAAGATACTAAGTACATGGTGCATTTTAAAGATTTGGGTTGCAAATGGAAGTACATAGGGACTATTTTTAGAAATCTTTTGGTGAAAAATGTATTTGCTTATGATTTTAATTTATGCTCCATCATTGATTATTATTCTAGAGCTTTGAGCTGCAAACAAAAGAACTAAGTATATAGGAATTTTTTATGAAAACCTTCGGTATAAAAATGTATTCCCTAATCTGTATCACTTTAACATATGCTTCATCATTCACTAGCATTGCAAAAGCTTTGAGCAAATGGAATCAATTAGTTGCATATGAAAATATGTACCGCTAGAGATGGATCTTGGCTTTCTTCTTCTGCACCCTTTGGATCTTCTGCAGGAAGGTCATCATTTACTTCACCTTTAGGAGGATCATTACCAAGGTTTGGTTCCTTGCCACTTTCATCTGAGGGGTTCGACATTTTGTGTGCTTGTTTCTGCAAAAATATATCTGGTTTGGTATCACTCATAGCTAAGTTAAGCATACACAGCTGATTTTCCTGACCAAGAACTCTTCGCTTGAAAACATTTTAATGGATACCATAACAAGAAAATCCAAAATATAGGGCATCTTCCAGTTAGATTTTGAATTTAAGGTATTATCTTAAATTTAAACTGAACACAAAGAGTTCCAATTGATCTACATATCAGAAAACAACCGTAAACAGACTAAGGGTACAAGTAAATGAAACAATCAACTAATCATGAATCATGGCATATGTAATCTTAGAAAACGAATGAAAATCCAACAGTTAAACATGACAATCGACTGCCCTGGATAACATAAAGCATCATATAACATCAAGGATCTCAAACACAGAATTCTAAAAATCACAGATCACAGAAACAGATTGCAGTCCACATACACTTAATCACAGTATTGACGGACATTCACTCCACTTAGTCAACACACACAATAAACTATATCCTCAAAGAATCCTAAAATTGAAGAATAACACATCTAAAGATGAAAAAACTATAGGTACTCCTATTACTCTATAATGTACATCTTCTAGTTTGATACATAAGCCATATCATACAAAAACAACAAACTTCCCGCAGTTGATTGAAACATTGAATTTCCACCAAATCTTACAGTAATACCCCTGAGAATCAATCAGCCACACCAAATGTGTACTGGTTCAATTTTTACCATCCCCTTCCCCAACAACAACAACAACAACAAGATAGTGTAATATCATAAGTGGGGTCTAAAGAAGGTAGAGTGTACGTACACCTTACCCCTACCCCTACCTCATAGAGATAGCAAGATACTGTTTCCGATAGACCCTCAGCTCACTATCTCCATCCCCATCCCCGATCCCCGAAATTCAACCGGAAATGACAACTTGTCAATCAATTTCTTTTCAAGATATCAATTCTAGCTCAGCTTAAACATGCAAAAGAACAAAAAGAAGGTAAAACACAGAACTATAAATACCCAGTTCACGAAATATGAAATAAACGCACAGATTCAGTAATTCAAATCAATTTAAACACCAAATCAATCATCACAACAGTGCCGAATTTGGATCAAAACTAAAATCCCATTAATACCCAGAACGCAAATAGTAGATTCACATATGATAAACCTAGTAATGAGGAAAAAATAACAAAAAAGAATCGAACTTGATAGCACAAGAACAGGAAATAACTATTGAAAATCGCCACCTTTTTAAAAAATACAACAAAAATAGAACCCAAAAAGGCAAGAAAATCAATTTTCAGATATGGGAAAATGATGATGAAGAAGAAGGGTTACCTGGAATCTGAAGTGAAGGTGGATGAAACCGATGAGTTACCAGAAATATGGAACAGAAAGAAAGACGAAGCAAAATAAACTGTAAAATGAAAGAAGAAAAATAAACAGAAAACAAAAGGTTGCGTTTTCATTGCACTAGAGAATATGGGCCTTCTCATATTGTGGGCCTGGGGCATTTTTGGGCTTTTTCATTGTTTTTGTGGGAAAAGTGCCCAGATAGCTGATTTTGCCATGTGGGGCCCACTGTTTAAGTCACGTTCTACGGAGCGATGGTAAGACCGACTTTGTTGTTTGGCGTAGAGTGTTGACTAGTTAAGAACTTTCGCGATCAGAAGATGAAAGTTGTGAGAATGAGGATGCTGATATGGATGTGGGGATATACTAGGAGAAGTAAGATAAAATAAAGATATCTGGTATAGCTAGGAGTGGCGACAATAGAAGAGAAGATACGTGAAACGAGATTGAAATGATTTGGGCATATGTAGAGGAGATGCACGGATATCCCAGTACAAAAGTGTAAGAGTTGGCTATGAATGTTTTCAAGAGAGTAGAAGTAGAGACAAAAGAAGTATGGAGGAGACATGATTTGACAGAACATGACACAACTTCAGCTTACCGAGGACATCACCTTAGATAGAAGGTTATGGAGGACACAGATTAGGATATGAATTTAGTTAGGTAGTTGAGTGTTGTCTCACTTATTCTTCTATACTATTAGTTGTGCTATTAATTGTGGTGTTACTCTTCTAGTTTCTTGTCCTTTGATTTTGGTTATTATTAGTGGGTTTTTTACATTTTTATTATTGTTTTATCTTATTATGACTATTGTTTAGGATGATTTGACATGTTGTCTTTAGTATTTTGCTCGAACTTACTCCATTTTTGTTATTTCTTCTTTATACTTCTTTGGTCTACTTTTTCCTTGAGCTGAGGGTTTATCGAAAACAACCTCTCTACCTCCAAAGCACTGACAATGTTTGCATACACTTTATCTTCTCCACTTCATGAGATTACGTACACTGAATATATTATTATTGTTGTTGTTTAAGTCACACTCTAAATTTATAAAATTTTGAAAGTCTATCCACTTTGAAATAATTTCGATACGTGATGAAGTTGCAAGAATTCATACCTAAAGTTACAAATTTTGTTTGAAGTTGGTAGGTTACTTCACCCACAAATGATTTGAGTTCAACCAATTTTTGCATGCACTTATTATTCAAATTTCAATAATATAATCCATAATTCAACACATAAATCTACTCCGAGTATGCTCAAATTTGAAATACAAACTACAAATGTCATAAAGAACAATTTATATTAACTATCGTTTCCAACAATTTGAAATATAAGTAGCAAAATATACTATTTATATTTCAACTAGCTATCCTAAAGATGGCTACCTAGTATAAACTTTACCAAATTATTGTTCATGCCCTAGTATTTGAATCCTCTTTAATATCTTTGACACAAGTTGTTTTTATTATTTTTAATTTTATAAGAGCAACATGAACCAATTGATTTGAAATAATGATCATAACTAGCTCACAAACACATACTTGTTATGTAAGGGGTCTAAAAATATTTGACTCTCATAACATGCAGCTTATCATGTGGGTTTCATATAATATAGGGAAAAGGGATAAATATACCCTCAAACTATCGAAAATGGTATATAGATACCCTCTGTCATATTTTTGGGATATTAGTGCCCCTGCTGTCCAAAAAGTAGAGCATATATACCCTTTATACTAACGGACATACACGTGTCATAATTTTATCCACCGACCCAACATTTATTAAATATCGGGACAGATAAGATTGTGCCACGTGTCCCTATTTAGTCTTCCGTTAGAGTGAAGTACATATATACTCTAGTTTTTGGACGACAGAGGCATCAATGTCCCAAAAATATGACGGAGGGTATTTGCATACCATTTATGATAGCTTGGTGATATATTTGTCCTTTTTCCCTGTAATATATCAAAAGATCTTCTGAATAATTTCTTGAGAAAAAGGACAAATATACCCTTGAACTATCGTAAATGGTATGCAAATATCCTCCATCATACTTTTAGGACATTGGTGCCCCTGCCGTAAAAAAACTAGAGCATATATGCCCTTCACTCTAAGAAGACTAAATAGGGACACGTGGCACAATCTTATCCGTCGATCCTATATATAATAAATGTCGGGTTGGTGGATAAGATTATGACACGTGTATGTCCGTTAGTATAAATGGTATACATGCTCTCATTTTTAGATGACAGGGACACCAATGTCCCAAAAATATGACGGAGGCTATTGCAACCAGTTACGATAGTTCGAGGTATATTTGTCCTTTTTCCCTAATTTCTTTAATTATTCAGTAATGTCTGTCTTGCGCACATTGATTGCATCGTTCTTGATCACATTCAGAAATCTTCTATACTTCTCATAGCTTACCTATCATTTCCAAAGTAGTATATCCTTCGTGTTCTAATTCATGTGCTATAGTCTGAATCAATATAAAATTCAAAACAATACGTAAATTTTTAAAACATTATAGAACTTTAATATCAAATACTTATACCTCTTGTATTATTAAAAAAATAAATCCTACATTACACATTTACACCCGTTATGATATCTCTATTGTTCAAAAAACATTTAAACCTTTTATATAATTACAAAAAAGAGAAATTTATACTATATTAAAATATTATAATTAAATTAAATTACAAATAAATTATGTATTTTAAGTGTAAGAACTAATAGGGTTATAAACAATAGTTGGTAGTTAAGTAATTTGTGTTCATTTCTTATTTATGAGTACCTACTCCTAAAATGATCGTTAAGGTCATTCACTTGATTTCCTCAATGACTTTACTATCGATGAATCAAGATATGCTATGCAGGTGTCAAGGCGAAGACATTGGTGGTGGATATGCTAACGATCTCGAAAGCAATGTCTTATTTGTAGATCTACATGTTTTTTTGGTAGAAATAGAGATATTATATATAAACTTAAAGCTGAAGCCCACATGCTTCATTGTTCTTTACATAGTTGAAAATAGGGTATTTCTCGTCATGTCATTAGAACAAGATTTTGCTGCCGATCTACATGCTGATCTTTATTATACTAGGATGCAAGAAAGTTTCAAAATATAAATGATCAACACGTATTTATTCACCTTTTAAGGAATAATTTTTTTGTTAAATTTTTATCTTTGTTTTTTTTAAAATCATAAAAATAACTGATATGTATCCATAAACCATGTAACATACTAGCTGAATAAGTTTGTGTAACGAAGCAAAAGCAGAACTAAAAAAAAATGAAATAAAAAGGTTCACAACTAGAAGTAAGTTAGATTTTGACCTACTCCATAAACTTATTCTCTGCTTTATTTCTCATTGTTAATTAAAAAGTCAGCCTGTGATTATTAATCATTGAACTTTCTTGTATTCTAATTTCTCATCTTCGATTCTCATGTTCAAGTACAACTTTGTGCCTAATCCATAAAACCATTTAGGACCATAGCCATTATTATTAGTATATTATCAGTTGACCTAGTATAACAAATCAATGATCATAAAGTATGTTTGCAAAACATTTAAAAACCAAAAAAAAAAAATAGGACAAAGAATGTTGCAGTTTCTATCGAAAACAACCTCTCTGTTCCATAAAGTTAAAAGTGATGTCTGTGTACATGCTATCCTTCGTAGACACACTTTTGGAATTACAACGAGTCGTGTATTGTTGTAATGTCTCGGTTTCTTGTATATAATGATACATTTTCATGAAAAAATGTTTCCAAAGTACATGTTATGAAGAAAGTAGAGCAGGTAAAAAGTCTAGCAAGTTAATGCAAGACTTAACTACTTCATGGAATATCATGTATTGAACCAGAAAGTTGTACATTTCATTGATTAAATAAGCAAAAGCAACAACTAATTATGTGTCATCAAAACCTAATATTATTTGCAACTCTGTTACATGATTTGGTTCACTTGTTAGTATAAATTCGCGGTCTATCACACTTAACATACAGATCATAACAACAAAATTTGATTTGAGTTTCAAAGTTTGAGCTAAAAGGGAAAGATGAAGGCAGTATCAATTGAAGCTGGAGAGGGATCAAAGGCCAAAAGAGTTCATGGAGTAAACAGAGGGATCTCTGTATTTGATCTCATTTTACGTATCGTTGCACTTGTTGGAACCTTAGCAAGTGCTGTGGCAATGGGTACTGCAGATCAAGCACTTTCATTCAGTACACAGATTGTAAATTTTGAAGCTCAATATGATGATATCGACGCGTTTAAGTAAGCAACATTGCTAACATATTAGTACATGAAACAGAACTCTATAAAGGTTAACTAACACATTTTTATTTTTTTGTTTATTGTGATTGAAGGTTTTTCGTGGTTTCGAATTCTATAACTTGTGTATATCTTGCACTTTCTATCCCTATTTCAATCTTTCACATTATCAGAAGTAGAGCAGGAAAGAGCAGAGTTTTGCTCATTGTTCTAGACGCGGTAATACATTAAGTTTCTACTCAAGTTTTGATATTTAATAGTACTTTGTTATGAAGTTGTGCTGATATTTTTTTATACTTTGTGAAAACTTTTGAAGATAATGCTGGTTTTCCTCACATCTGGAGCATCTGCAGCAGCCGCGATTGTGTATTTGGCACACAATGGCAACACTTCAACTAACTGGTTTTCGATATGCCAACAGTATACAGATTTCTGTCAGCGTTCTGCTGGATCCCTTATTGGTTCGTTTGGTGCAATGGCCTTGATGGTTCTACTTATTATTTTGTCATCTATCGCGTTATCCAGGCGCTAAAAGTGTCATAAAAGGAGACTGGCTACACTAGCAATTGCTAGCCTTTGTGTTTATTTCTGAGTGTGTATTGTGTTTGTAAATGTTTAGTTTCATGATTTGCATTTCATTGTATCAAGATTGTCATCAGTTGTATCACAAATGAAAAGATTTCCTCCTTACTACAATGTTTTCGTCTTCAAAAATCACGTTTAGTCAACTAATAGTTATTCTCTCAGAAAGTCGTAAGTCAAATCAACTCGCAGACCAAATATGTATTCATAAGCTCTAATTTGTTTATTGAAGAAAGTCACTTTTTTGAACAAACTAATGAACATAAAATTGAGACTATTTCAATTGCTAGTGTATATAATTTCAATCACCTCTGAGTCTGATGATGTTATGAAAACTCTTGACATCATGCAAGTAATCCCACCAATTCATCAATCGATTTCAACGTCTTCTCATAGAATACACGAGATTCATATACCTTTGGTGTTCGAATGTAGTAATCAAACTGCAAATGAAGAAAATACATAGAAATATTCATAACACTGAATAGAACCTCGAAAATTTCTGAACAGGGAAATAAGGACAGTTACCTCAGCCATGTTATCAGTAAGCTCATTGGCAGTTTTAATATAAGACTCTTTTCGACTTTCAGGCACCCTGGACAAGGCATTCTTCATGTCCTGTTTAAGATAAGCTGATTTAAGACGAATATAAAACAAGACATACCTCCATGAGTTAGTCTCCAACATTTCCTTAATACTATGTAGTCCATCTGCTGTTTGGCGAATTCGTGCTACTGCATCTTCAGGGGACAATCCAGGCTCAAAGAAATGTTCTCTTAAGAATGATCGAACGCCCCAATTTTCAGCTAATGCTAAAGGGGTGAATTGTAGGCCTAGTGTCAATGGAGTGGCTAGAAAAGTCGCGATAAGTTTTCGTCTACATGAGAAATTTTCTTCATTAGTTGATAAGTTTGATTGGATTTTGGGTAGTGTCTTGCATTGTGTGTGATGAGTTTTGGTTATTTTGATTTTTGGATGGAACAAAGTTGTTGGATTTGTGAAAGTGGTCATGTTTGTGTAATAAAGTTAGAGAATGTTTGATGGTTTTTGAGAGTTTTGGTGTGTGTTTGGATGGATATTAATTGATTTCCCTAAATCCAAAATGGACCTTAGGTTTTGGTGACTTGGCAATTATTTTATCCTCTTTTTTTCCCAATAAAATTGGTGTTGTTGGGTCAATGGTTAAGAGGTTTTGTTCTAGTTGGCCCAATTTTGGAATTGTTAACTTTGGGCTGGCCTGTTCACTTGAAAGGTTCACATTACTTCGGAATCAATCAAGACAGAACACTAGTAGCCCTATTTTGTAGACAGGTTGGGATCAATCTTTTAATTTTTATCTCGTTGAACAATGTTCCACTGATTTTCTGTAACCCCTAGGCATATCCTTGACACTGCTTACAAAATCATGTTATGAATATGGTTATATTATTTGACCTTCATACTTACCAGTATTTTTTTTGACCTTCATACTACAAGTTGTATCTCAATTCTCATATCAAAACAAATTTGAGTTCAAAATTGGGATAAGACACTAGATAGATCTAAATTATGGTGAAAATTTCAACTACACACCCTGCCAAAGAGTGGAGTAATGGTATGGGGATTGGTTATCCCGAATTAAAACAATGAAATTGCCAAAAACACCCTTGAAGTCTCTGAAATCTTTTTTCTACTAAATAAGGTGGAGAATATTTTTGTAAACAAATTATTTCTTCTTTGAAATTATGGAATACATGTTATTTAGTTTTCAATATAACAAATCAAACAATATCAATAAATCATTTTCATGCATAAAGAGAATTAAAGCAATTTAGGCAAAAAGAATACATTCTTGATTGTGCATGAATAATTGCTTTACAGCCAAAAAATCTAATGTCTCTAGCTCCCACATAGTTGGACTAATAATAATTGCTTTAAAAATTTAAGCCACACCTTTAATGACATCCACTGGGGCTACCTATTCATATATAGTACTTACAGAAAATGATAGATGAGAAATGAATGGATTGGGATGAGAAAATGATCTAAACAAATCACAATAATAAAGTTCGATTATATGAATCCTCATTAACTAAAAAAAATAACTACAATATTTTTATAATCCCTATTAGTATAAGGATCGTTAATAATCTGTTTAGCTAAACTTTAAAAATATAAAAAAATGTTTGACCAAATTTTAAGCGAAGAACTAAGTGCTTGTAAGTTGTAAATAGTAATCATATTCGTCAAATTATGGCATGCGTAGAAATACGTCTTGAAAATATTGGTCAAATATAAACTACTAATAAAAATACTTCACAAATGATTTAGTTAAACACAAACTGATCAATCAAAGTACTTTTTCAAAATTATTTGATAAGATGTACTGATCAAATTAAGTTGATCTTAGTAGCTTTGTCAAACACACTATAGAAGACTCCTAAAAAGCATAGAACCTAACACAAATATATTAACATACACGTATCAAAGGGTGTGGCTTAGTGGTCAATGTGGTTGAGAATCTTGAGGCCTTAGGTTAAAAACTCAGCGGAGACCAAAAATACTAGGAGTGATTCTTTCCATCTGTCATAGCCTTAATGGACAGAATTACTTGATACACGTTGCTGGTGGGAGGTGACAGGTATCCCCTAGAATTAGTCCAGGATCATTAAAAATAAAACATATCAACATACAAATTAAAGTCAACTAATTGCTATCGAAGGTATAATTCTCTTTTTCTTTCATTGTGTTTTAATCTTCCGCTATATTCACATTAATATATTGCAACAAATTAAAGATCTTTTAAAACAAACGTTCTTTTCATATGATTTTAGGTTTATCTCTCATCTCCCTTTCGAACACCTTCACTACTCATGCTTTCACACCTATAGTCTTATGTACCTACAAGTTATCGTTCACACAAAAAATGCGAAGTTTCTCTCATTTTATCCTGAAAGTATGTTACTTGCCAATTAAGGAAAGAAAAACACAAAGACCATAAGATATTTTACTAAATTAGTGTATATATTTAAGGAGTACGTAGTAGATGCCGTGAACGGCACTAAGAAGTATTACCATATTTGTTGACTTATAAGATAGTTACATGCATGCATCTAGTCGCAATTCACAAACATTTTTTTTTGAAATACGAAATTATATGAATAAAGAATAACTCTATAAAAAGAAAATTAATGATTCATATAAATCGCTTAGTGAAAAATGTATCGCTTTTCAACACGTGTGTATGAACATCTATCAAAACACTATAAAAATCAACAAAAAGTTGGAACTACGTACTCCCATGTTGTTGTGCTCAATAATATTAATATTAAGTCATCAGGTTATTAAAATATGGAATTGTCATAAGGGATTTTTCTTTCCCTTTTTGGGTAATTAATTATTGGGGTATGCCTGCCCAAGTGATTGTTGGTGTAAGTCGCTCGTCATCATGACTAATCTTGATTAGTCGGAGCTTCAATGCAGATCTGGACATTAAGTGGAAAAAAATGACTAATCTTAATTAAGGAATACTTTTATAGAGTCAAACTTTTTTATAATGCTGTTGTTTGTTTGAATATTTTCAATTGCTATGGTAAAATATTATTATAAAGAATATATAATATAACACAAAATGAAAAATATCTCGATTCTAAAAAAGAACTTGACCGTTATAATGGAATATTGTTATAGAGGATGATTATTAAAGAGAGATCCATATATATACATGACTATTTGGCATATAAATCTTTAGCAATAAGTATAATTTAATCAATTATAATGAGTTATTTTACTATTTTTCTTAATTTAGTACTTACTCTGTCTAACAATAGTTGTTCAATTTAGAAAATCAAGAGATAAGTTATCTTTTGTGTCTATTTTACTCTTTCTATTAAATATTATTTACTCTCTCTGTCCCTAATTACTTGTCCACTTTTGAATTGACACAGATTGACATAGTGAGTTTACCATTTTACCCATATTAATTGTGAAGTATATTGATCAATTTAACATGGGATATTATATCTGATTTTCCCATATAGTTGGATACTTGGATTAATGAGTAGACTAATAGCTTCATATACTAACACCTTTACAATTATTCAGTGGGGGCTTAGCTATTCATAAAACTTATATAATGATTAGAAAATTATTTTTAAAATGAAGGAACACAAAAAACATAGGAAAATATATACAATTATTAGTATAAGCTTAATTTATACTACATATATAGTTAGTCTAAATAATATTTATCCAATAATCATTATAATAAAAATTATTTTTAACGACAATAAATATACACATTAACGACATTAGTTAATTGCGTTAGTTCCAACGTCGTTGCTATACAAGAGATATTTACAAAAAGTGCTAATTGTCGCTAATTATTAATGTTAAAGATCATTTTTGATATAGTGTATTTATTACCAGCTAATTATAGAAATTAAAGTTGTCTTAACATATATTTCACTTGGAAACAAAAAATTAAAGTGTCATGAATGAAAAATATATTTTCACTTGTAAAATTAAACTATCCGAAAAATCAATCCAACGTATAATCAATTAATATCTTAACATATCTTTTTAAGAAAAGAAGAATTTTTTTGTATGAATAAATGGGACTTAAATCTCACAATTTTTAAAAAGCTTACTAATAAATATCTTTTAATATGATTGATTTAACAATATAAAATTAAAGATTTGCTTTATATTAGTCTATTACTTGTAAAATTTAAATGGAGCAATAAGTTGAACACGTGTTCAATGATAGCTGGAGGAACAATGTAAATTGTAATTAGTATATCGTGTACGCCATTGAAAATATGATATATTTTTTAATTATATAGGGACGGTCTCAACTAAAAAGATAGCATTGATCGCAATTTCAAGAATATTTGACCAACCATTCGTGCGGCTGGTTTTAATTTACCATTTGACGGCTGATCAAATGAGAGGGCACCATCTACGTACCTACTTGTGGAATAGAGGGGGATGGAGAATTCATTGATGTTAAGATGTCAAGACGGTTGAAGAAGGCCATAGATGAAAGTAATCGATGCTTTGATTATTCAATCGACATCTTACTGTCATTTTGTGCTTGTCGTCATACTAACAAAAGAGGAGTTTCGATTGATTTTACTTACTATTGAATTTTTTCTCTTTTATATATCTTGCTAATCTAGTATTGTCATATAAGAGAATTGTCTTTATGGATAAAATATTTATATCTTGAGTCGACATAAATAAGAATAAGTTAGTCAAATATTATTTTTTCAAAAATATATAAATTAAAATTAAAACAAATATTTTGAGATGGAAAAAGTACACGAAAACAGCACGCAAATAAACAACACGTAACCAATAGTCCAATATTCTCATATTATTGTGTTCACTCGATCACTTATATATCAAATAATGGAAAGGTCAAAAGGGAGTTTTCATTCCCGTTTTGTATAATTGACAAGCACAAAGTGAACACAATTATGTTAAAAGTATATTTGGATGAATTTATAATTTATGATTTTTAACTTAAAAATATATTTTTATTTTACTCGTGTTATAAATCAAAAGTGTACTTAAAAATATTTAAAATAAGTTAATTCAAATAAAATCTTAGTTTTTTCGTTACTAAACATTTTTTTACATTTATAGACAAAAAAAGAAAAAGAAAACTTGTTATCATTATTTGAGTGCTCGAATTTGAATAGTACCACACATTCTTGAACTCTTTTTTCTGCGTAAATAATATATATATAAGTAAATTTATATATTAGTTTCTTCGTTCTCTTATACTTATCATTGATATTTCACTTTTTGAAAAATAAATTATATAAAATTTTAACTAATACTTAATTTTAAAATTTATATTAACATAAAACGTATTTTTCTTTGTTCCGAAAATACCTTATAAGTGAAAGATAAATACACATGCCCCTTTTTTTCTTTGCACATACCTTATTCCTTGAACTAAAAGTTTGATCTTATCCAAAAAGTATTTTTGGCAAAAAAAATAATATCCAAAAAGTTTTAATAAGGACTTTGTCCTATTTAGAAGAAATTTCGGCGGAATATTAGCCGTTAAAAAAAAGAAGAAAATCCACCACGAAAATTATTCGTT